ATAAATAAATAAATAAAGTCTTGGTTATAACATCTAAGATCAGTAACCAAAACTACTTGACAGGACCTCAAGATGTCAATGACAAAGGCAAGGCCACAGCCGTTCGTTCTTTCGTTGTCAAACAAGAAGACATCTCCCAGGCTCATCAATCCTCTTTTATTGCTCTATCCCCGTAAACGATCTGAAGTCCTCTTAGAATTGCTCAGAATCTTCTTTCCGAGAAACCCAGAGTTGTTGTTATACACGTGCATTTGAGCAAAAATACACACAGAGTAAATCTGAAATTAATATCTACAGAGTTCAGGAAAAAATCCTATAACCTACTTTTTTGCTTTTAATTTCAGGGAATACATTCAAGGAAAAGTAAATATTCTTTACTCTTGCCTGAAGTCGTCAGATAATTGCTTTAATTTTCCATCCAATTTTGTGAGTATGGTTCAAGTTAACGAACAAGTTAGCACCTTTGTTTATGAAATTGAGATAAACATATGTGCACAGATAGGAAAACTAGGCTTTACTTAAGGAAGTAGAATAGTTTTCATGAGGACTCAAAACCACATACATGCTAAGTGACCAAGACTCAAGATGTGCTTCTTTCAGCACTCAGCATTAGCAACTATTAGCAATGACCCCATGCTATTGATAATGAAAGTACACAGTCCCTTAAAAACGTCTTATCAGTATTTTGGTAGCTGATTATGGAGATAGTTCTCTGTCATAAATTATATATTTGCTGACTTTTTGAAGTTCATTACTTATGAAAGGAAAGAAGGAATGGACATGAACTCCATCTTTCAAGATCTGATCATCTGTTATTTTCATTTTTCATCTCTCTGTTTGAAGAATTTGATGCATTTTTACATTTCCCCCTAAAAATACTGAAACTTTTTGAATAAAAAGTTAAGAGTTTTTTGAATAGATTAGTTGAATCAGTCCATTTTAAGTCAGTGGAACTACTATGCTGTTGTTATATTTTATACTTTAGATCTAAGCTAAAATTTCTAAGACCAATCCATTTCTTCAAATCTAAGGAGTTACAGTCTATGATAGTTTGGAGCTACAGTTGGACTATATTTTTACAAAACTAGTTGTCTTCCTGTGGATCCATAAGTACAAACTATTTCTAGAAGATCCCAAATTTCTCTTCCTTGATGCCTGGATTTAATTAATAATGAATAACAATGTTCAATGTATAGACACACTACTTTTAAAAATAGGCTTTGGAGATCAGAAATGAAAGGAGAGCAAAAAAATTGTTATAATGTATTATGCATGCAAATATTTAAATATTTCTTAAATATCTTTAAAGTGTATACCCAGGACCATATTTTCTCAACACACAAAGGTCAGAAATTTGCATTGTGAATTCAGTAATTGTGTGGGAAGTCAATTTCCTATGAGGGCCACATTTCAATGGCAGTTTTAAAGATTCTTTATCAATTTCCAGAGCACTTAAAACTTCTCATTTTTAATAGTAACTGCCACATATGAAATGTAGGAATGTTGTGCCTCATAAATAAACACATGAAATATGCGAAATCGAGGCGCATACATGCAAGGAGGAAGCCTAGCATCTGAAACACATTATTAATGCCAGAGGGGTCACCATCTGGGCATGTGCTTATAAAACACATCTGCATTACTGGTAACGGGCAGCCGGGGCATCTGAATCACATCACCCGTGTTCTCCCCACCCCACACATCACAGCAGGAGGAATTTCCTGACGAATCAGATGCTGCCCAAAGGTACCATTTTTTTTCCTTGTTGCCATGCACATAATGAATCTGAAAAAAATTGCAGATCAAGTCAAAGCAAAGATACCCTTCATTTATCTAATTGTACCGAATGATGAATGAGCCATGAAATATTAAAAAAAGAGAGAGAGAAAGAAGTTATGTTATATTCATTTCCTTTGCTGCAAATCTCAAATTATTTGTAACCATTTGTTTAGGGTGCGGGTGGAGGGAGACCAGGGGGATGCTCAGAGGTAAGCAGGAAATTTTCATGGAAATAAATGACTTTAGCTAACAGCGTTACTATCAGCACAAAGCCCATGAAGGAAAGTGTGGACATAAATCAAACAAGAAAAAAAGTATGGAATCTTGGCATAGGAAGGGCCCTTAGAAATTCAGTTGGTCCATTTTTCTATCTCCATGTCAATCCAGGTAGTTGATTTTGTTATTTAAACTCTTAAAGGAGATTCTGCAATGTTACGTATGTATGTGTATAAGAATGTATGTGAGTATTTGTGCCTTGCCTCATTTTAAAAAGATTTGAGGAGACATAATGCTTTATTGGCACAGTAATATTTTCTAGTGTTTCACAGCTATTAATAGGCAGGAAGTTTGATTTAAATAGAGCAATGTTTCAATCTGGCAAATTATTTGCTGTGTATTGAGGCAAGTTAATAGTGTGTTTGAAACCCAAATTCTGTGGATGTAGTCATCACACCTTCTACTGAGTTGAAGAGTAGTATAAAGATTCTTTTTTGGCACCTTCCTCCCTACTTTGGGCAGATATGGAAAGTAAGTGCACATAAAAGAAGGTGGAGAGGGTGATGCTAAACAAAATTTTATTTTTAATTAAATGCTGCTCAAAGCATTTGGAAATAATTTAACTTTTGAGGCTTTGCCTATGTCTACACCATGTCAAGATTACCAGCTGGAAAGAGAAAAATTCAAATATCCAGATGCTTGGTCCATACTTTGCTAAAAATGTGCCTATTTGGAAACAGCCAGGTATCTAGTAGTATCCCATACAAAATAAGAATTTTCTACCTTCCATCCACTTTCTATCTGTACTTTTTGGCATCACATAGGAGCAGTTAATGTTACGTTTTTAAAGAAACCATTTCCTTTGCTTTAGGTATTTATAATAAGATGCTCTGCTGTACACAGCTCCTACAGATCACAGAACATTATCTATCTAGACAAACGATCACTTCAGAAGATGGGCATATTTGTTGGAAGTTGTATCAGAAAATGTTCTGAGCTTTTTGAATTAGTCCTTCTCCTCTTGAGTACATGGTCTGAGTTTCTTGTAAACAATATGACACAGGAGCAACTGCTTCAAATACAAGACAAGGACAAAGTCTTTTTGGCCTATAGCACCTCAAAATCATCAAATAGAAATGGCAGAGAAGTGGTACAATATAGTGTAAGTCAGCTGGCTCATGGGGCATTGTTTCCTTTCAAGGGCAGAGGGCTTCCTAGGCAAAATCCACACCTGTGTTACTATGGAAACAGAATATTTTTTTCTTTTCCAATCCAAAGGTAATTATTAATTATAAAGAAAGGATGGAATAGGGCAATGAGCTGATTCCTTAAGAATCCAGGTTTCTTCTTAAACAGACTCCAGAAATTCTATTGTGGGTATTTCCATTTTGCAGATAAGGAAACCAGGGTTAAGATACAGTTAAAGAGCTTCTCTTTGATATGAGTGAATAACCAGTAAGGGGTGATTCTACTCTCATTCACTTAAAAAATTATCCAAGTACAATATAAAGGATATTTTAATTGACAACAGTGACATGGCAAAAAACTGATACATTTGCTTTAAAAAAAAAAACAAGATTCCCCTTTCTAAATGAAATATTCAAAATTGCCTAAACTTAAATATCATACAGAACTCAAAAGAATTCCTTTAGACCCTGTACTACACAGGAAATAATAATGACAGATAATAATGAAATAAAATACTGGTCTAAGTCAACACTTCATATGTCGCAGGCAAGTCTTCGTATGCAATGACCAGTCCAAGATCCAGAACCATGTATGGAGTTAATTGAGGACCTTCTCCCTTTGCAGCATTTCTCCATTTAGGCCATGCTTGATTCTAAAACAGAGGTTTTCGAAGTGTGGTCCCAGGACCAGTAGCATCAGCACCACCAGAGAACTTATTAGACATGCATACTTGGGCCCCTACTGAATCAGAAACTCTGAGGGTAGGACCTGGGAATTTGATTTAATAAGTCCTCTAGTCAATTCTGATGCACCCTAGGATTTGAGAACTACTGCTGTAAACATTGCAATGGCCATGCCTCAGGTCCAACAAGGCTTAAGGTGGAACGCTAAGGCCCTAGATGGGAAAGGTCCAGTGGAAATGCTTGAGAGGGATTGGTTTCTGAAGATGGAATCTTATCCTGTGTTGTCGAAGTCAGTGCAGTGTTTGCATGAACGCATTTCCATTAGTGTGCAAACAATTAATGCCACGATAGTTTACTGCTAATGAAACAACAGAAGGCAGTGTCTTAGTTCATTTTGTGTTGCTATAACAGAATACCAAGGATTCGGTAATTTATGATGAAAAGGAATTTATTTGTCATGGTTCTGGAGGCTGGGAAGTCTGAGACCCAGTGGCTGGTATCTGGTAAGGGCCTTATTCCCATGGTGGAAGGCAAGAGGGCAAGAGAAAGTGAGAGAAAAGGGGGCCAAACTTGTCCTTTTATAAGGAGCCCTTTCCTAAGATAATGAACCTACTCTTGCAATAAAGGCATTAATCCATTCATGAGGACAGAGCCCTCATGACCTAATCAACTCTTATTAGGCTCCACTTCCCAATACTGTTGCACTGGGGAATAAGTTTCCAACACATGAACATTGGGAGACACATTCAAACCATAGCATTCTGCCCTGGCCCCCAAATTCATGTTCTTCTCATATACAAAAAAGACACAAAAAACAAAAATGGAGTCTCATCTAAATCAGATATGGTTGAGACTCAAGGCATGGTTCATCCTGAGCCAAACTTCCCTCCAGCTGTGAGTCTGTGAAATTAAACAAGCTATCTAATTCCAAAATACAATTGTGGGATAGGCATAGGATAGACATTCCCATTCCAAAAGGGAGAAATAGGAAAGAAGAAAGGAGTAACAGGTCCCAAGCAAGTCCAAAATCCAACAGGGTGAATAATACTGAATCTGAAGGCTTGAGAATAAACTTCTTTGACTCCATTTTCCACTTTCTCAGCACACTGGGGCAGGGATTGGGCCCCCAAGGCCTCAGGCAGCCCTGCCCCCATGGCTTTACTGGGCTCAGCTCATGCGACAACTCTCATGGATTGGAGCCTTGTGACTGTAGCTCTCCCAGGCTGGAGTTGCATGCTGGTAGCTCTACAGTTCTAGAGTCTGGGGGCAGCCCGGCCTCCATGGCTCCACTAGACCTAGTGGGGGCTCTCTGTGGCAGCTCGGACCCCATAATTCCAGTGGGCATTGTCCTAGTGGGAGTTCTCTATGGCAGCTCTGCCCCTGCGACAAATCTCTATTTGGGCTTTTGGGATGTCTGCGACATCCTTTGAAATCTAGGTGGAGGCAGCAATGGCCCCACAGCCTGTACCTGCTGCACACCTGCACCATAATGCCGCCAAGGTTTACAGCTTATACCATCCAGAACTGCAGATCAAGCTGCACCTGAACTTGCTGGTGACACAGTATGGGCAGCCAAGGAGCACTGTGCTGGAATGCAGAGAGCAGAGTCCTGAGCAGCCAGCCCATGCATGGAAGGCACCCTGACCTCGTTCCCTGAAGCCATTCTGCCTTCCTAGGGCTCTAGGCCTGTGATGGGAGGGGCAGACTCCAAGCCCTCTGTAGGCCTTTGGGGCCATTGTCCATTGCCTTGACCAATAGCACCTGGCTTTTCTCTGTCCATGCTAATTTCCTTGTTAAAGGGTCACTTGCCCACACCCTTGCATGCTTTTTTGTTCTTTACATAGCTAGGCTGCAAATTTTCCAAATTTTTACATTCTGTTTCCATGTTAATTATAAATTCCATATTTAAATCATTTCTCTCTTCTCTCATTTTACTATATTCAGTTAAAAGAAGTTATGCAGCTCCTTCAATATTTTTCTTAGAAATTTCTTCCACCAAATATCCTAGTTTATCACTCTTCAATCTGCCTTCCATAAAGCCTTTGGGCACGGACATGATTCAGCCAAGTTCTTTGCGATTTTATAACAAAAATGGCCTTTACTCCAGTCTGCAATACCTTGTTCCTCGTTCCCTCTGAGACCTCATCAGAATGGCCTTTATTGTCTACTAACACTCTGAACATCATCACTTAAGTAATCTCTAAGACATTTCAGACTTTTTCCATAATTCTTTTCTTCTTCTGAACCCTCATCCGAATTGCCCTTAATACTCCATTTACAGCAACACAGGCTTTTCCTAGCCTGCTCCCCCAAACTCTTCCACCCTCTGCCCGTTACCCAGTTCCAAGCCACTCCCACATTTTCAGGAATTTGTTGTAGTAACAGCTCCACTTCTCAGTACCAATTTTCTGTCTTAGTCTATTTCGTGCCACTATAACAGAATACCATAGACGGGGAAATTTATTTCTCACAATTCTGGAGGCTGGTAAGTCCAAGTTAGAGGGGCTGGCATCTGGTGAGGGCCTTCTTGCTGCATCAACTCATGGCAGAAGGTGAGAGGGAAAGAGAGAAGGGGAGAGAGAAGGGGAGGGCTGAACTCTTCCTTTTGTAATAAACCCACTCAATAATGGCCTTCATCCATTCAGGAGGGCAGAACCCTCATGGCCTAACCACCTCTCATTAGGCCCCACCTCCCAGCACTGCTGCACTGGGGATCAAGTCTCCAACACATGAACTTTGGGGGACACATGCAAGTCATAGCAGACAGCCTCAACCTTTGATTCCTAATCCTCCTTTTCCTGGGTGTTGGCAGAAATTGTTCATGCACAAGAGGAAAATTGGTTTACTTAAACCACAGTTTCTCAATCTTGGCATTACTGACATTTTGGGCCAGGTAATTTTTGCAGTGGGGAGCTGTCCCGCATTGTAGGATATATACAGTAGCATCCTTGGCCTCCGCCCACTAGGTGCCAGTAGCAACTCCCCCACCCCTCCAAGTCCTGACAATCAAAAATGTTTCCAGACAAGGCCAATATCTCTTAGAGCAGAAATTGCACTTGGTGAAAACCACTGACTTAAACCAGAGCAGTTCCTTCAAAGTAGTAACAAAGGAAGAATGTGGCCTGGAAAGGACAGTCAAGCTGACAGGCTAGAGCAGGCTTCCAGCAGCCCCAGGGTGACTCACATTGTAGGACCGGCCGTGCCTCTGTCTCCACTGCACCAGCACTATCTGGGCGATGATCAGAGCGCAGAGGAAGATCAAGATCATCTCCACGTGCATGGACTCGTGGCCACGGTGCATCTTGTACATTCTCTCCTGCTGCAGGCTAAAACCAGCAAACGAGGTCATCTGAAAAAGCTCTCAACCCTTGCACATTTAGAAAAAAAAAAAAAAAAAAAAAGCCAGCTTGGCTCACAGGAAACAATTGGGGATTTCAAATGTAGAAATTGGTAAGCTTTGATTATAAAATTTTTCTACATTTTTCTTGGTTCCTTCCCTTCTCCCAGGTTTGGGGAAGGGACAGCTGAGAGGAGGAGCCTGATTCTATCAGCAAACCCAATTCCTCTCAGCCCTTTGCTTTTCCATGTGGTTTTGGCCTCAGTCTTGTCTTTTTAAGTTAAGTGATGGGGCTAAAACGTACTGAGGGGCACTGGGAAGACCTGGGTTCCAGGCCCTGATCTGCTACTTCATCATCTGACTTTCTTGGGGAAGTCATTTATTCTCTCTGAGCCTCAATTTCCTCCTTTGCAAACTTAAAATAACGATCCCTCTGTAATTCATGGGCTGGCTGTAAGATTTTAAAGCACATACGTTATCTTATTTGTACCTATTGCAGAATAATAATTACTGTTAGGCTGAATCCTATGAAACTTCCAGTTCTGAAAGTCAAAAACGGTAGAATGTTGGTGATCTCAAGTAATTTATATTATTTTCAAGTAAAAAGATATCCTGTAGATGGTGCCTATGCCAAAGGACAGTATATTATCCATGGAGCAATGGAAAGCTCCTGAGTGAGTTGTATAAATTGCTGTAGAACTATTACAGGATATTATATAAATTGGAGTTGTATATAGAACTATAATAGTTGTAGAACTATTACAGACAGGGAGGAAGAATAGGCCTAAGTATTATCTTAGACATGTACCTTCAGATGATGGCTGGCTGTTTCAGTTTTTAGTTGGATGCTTAGTTTTGTACAGTGATAGAGAAAAACCACTAGAGTAGTAAGTTATTTGGTTTAACGTCCTAGAGCAGAAGTGCCTCGAAGAAAACCTAGAGCAGTGGTTGTTGAACTTTGCTGTAAGTTAGAAATCACTGGGGAGCTTTTAAAAATCCCAATTCCCAAGCCATACCCCAGATTACTTAAATGACCATCACCGGGTGTCATGGGCTGAATTGTGTCCTCCCAAAATTCATACGTAGAAGTCCTAACCCCCAGTACCTGCCAACCCAAGCCTGCCAGCACCTTGATTATGGATATTTAGCCTCCAGAGCTATAAGAAAATAAATTTCTGCTGTTTAAGCCACCCAATCTGTGGTATTTTGTTATGGCATTCCTAGCAAACTGACACAGGTTTCCCGGATGGGACTTGGGCATCAGTAATTTTTAAAGCTTCCCAGGTGATTTTAAAAGGCAGCCAAGATTGAGAACCACTGGCCTGGAGGAAAAGAGAGAGGTCCAGGGTCAATATTAGTGAAAAGGGTGAAATTATGAAGGAAGTTACTTTGTAAATATTGGTTAGCATCATCTTTCACCCCAGCTCCATCAGTCACAAAATCTCAAGGACTGGTTACAGCGTGCAGTTAGCTAGGGTACCAGTCAGAAAACACTGCAGAGCAGTAGTCTGTGCCGCACGATTGTGACTTTTCAAAGGCACCTGATGCCGGTTAGGTTCTCACCCTGTCCCTGCATTTCTACAGAAAAGGCCCCATCCAAACCCCGGGGGTGCCCCCTGCTGGAGAAGGTGTAAAAATGAGCCTACACAGCCTAGTAAATATTCCTGCTTGAGTTCAGCTTCTTTGAGATGGATTCTTAGAATGTTAGTGCTGTAAGTTCCCACAGATGGAATGAAACTCCTTCATTTATCAATAATTAAGCTGCAGCCCAAATCAGGTAAGTGACTGGAATAAAATTACATGGGTTACTAGCTTCTGTAGTTGGAAGCTGAACTCAGGAGACAAGAATGATTTCTAGAAGTTCATTAAAAAAAATACACTTGTTCCCCTGAAGAAATGGGAAGTGAAGAAAAAAGAAAAGGGTACAAGAGCTTGGCTATGGTTTTTACACCCCAAAATCCAAAATAACTAATTAATATTCTATGTAATTAAAAGACTTTGAACTTAGGCCATGTAGATAGAAGATTGAATTCATCATCAGTCCAAAATGGGACTCGCATAGATATAAACAAAATATGCTTTATGATATTAATCTATTTTTATATATAATAATGAAAACACATCTCAAATGGATTCATCTACGTGGAAGTACTTCGGAAGTGTAAATTGGTACACAAATGCAGTAAGTATTTTCTATTATGAGTAGGTTACAGTCATGATTGATTCCCATAATGCAAAAAAGGAAGAACTTTTCATTTTTATTTCATTTCATGTAGTGCTCACAGGCCCCACAATAGGTACTGAAACACACAGGAAACAGCATATAAAGAAAACCAGATGTGTCATGTGCCTAAAGTAAATAGTAACTTGACATAGCCATGTTCTGAAGGATACATTAGTCCAGCTTTGTGGGAATGCATGGATCACGCTGTAGAAAACAGATGAAATTCATACAGTTTTGATCTATGGTCTCTTTGTGCACACATGGCTATCCTACCCCACCTTCTCTATCCTGAAAAATTTACAAATAAAATGATGACTTCATTCAATTTCTCAACTGTTAAGGTAAAAATATAATTCTTAGTAAAACAGTTGTAAAAAATACTAATCACTTACTTCCACGCATCATCTGCGGAGAGCTTTGTGTGAGAGATCTGAAAGACATAAAAAGGGCCCTTATCAAAATTTCTTTATTTTCTTGGCTTGTATTTTAAAACATTACATGGGAAACCCAAACCATGAAAAATAACAATGTTCCCTAGTACTGGAATAATCTAGGATGAAAGTCCTAATAAAATAATTTGCTTACAGAACTAAAACAACACAAACAAACAAAAACCAGTAATCAGGTCACTGTTAATAAATATTTTATTCAGTTCTTAGGTCATAGAAGCATTCCTGTAGCTGTTCTGGCAAATCAGTCAAGGGTGTAGACAGTGGCCTCCCTGCCACTCTGGCTTCTGGGATATGACGTTTGAATCTGAGCACCCCTAAAAAACATCTATTTTGCTGGTGTCATAAATAATGTCAGTGAGTAAATATCATCTTCAAGTTCAAGGTTTTAGAGACAGAGCTGCACAGAGGCTCTGTTTGGAGCACTATCATGCCCTCCTATAAAGGAGGCATCATTACTGACCCCAGGGAAGGGAGTGATCTGGGCTCGTGACCTTGCAGATTGAGCTGAAGAGCACACAGACCATCACCAGGACAGTGCTTTTTGGACAACCTGCAAAGCCCACTCATGTGCTGCCGTCTCTTGATTACTGTTAATCTACTACATCTGGTCATTTGAAACCTCTAGGGCCAATCAGTGGAAAGACACAACCTTTTAACTTTCACAAAGAGTATAGACGGATTAGTCCCTAGTTCAGTAGTGTTAAAGGATACTGCTTGAAAGCTAAAATCTCCAATGATGGCAAAGAAGGGAAGGCAAATAAAACATTTTTTACACAAACCTGATATTAACCATATTTTTGCCCCGTTTTCTTCAAATGGTGTAAGCATCTAATACATGGAAAGAAACAAACACCATCCATGATTTAGTCTAGGATTTCTCTGACTTGAGGTAAACAGGCTCCATAATGTTATAAAATCTAGGCTTCTGTCAGAGGCTTGAAGGGGTTCCATTACGAGAGATAACAATGCTCCGGATGACACAGGTAAGTATAGGTTTAGGCAATATTTGCACAATGCCAGCGCTTTCTGACAATGCCAGGAAAGAGGAATTGGGTGGCACAGAGGGTGACACTGGCAGCTTCTCCATGGCTCTCTGCCCCCAAGTGATTCTACCAGGTGGGTAGGTCCTGAATACTCAAATGGAGATTACAGTAGCTGCACTCAAGTGCTGAGCTCCAGGAGCAAAGCAATCCTCAGGTAATAGAGATGCCTGAATCTCTTCCTTTGTTTGATAGGTCATTCTCTGCTGACTTCTGCTTTGGGGGAGAAAACATTAGATGAGTTTGGAGTCTTGAGCCATGCAGCCACCAAACTGAGCTGATTGGTTCTTTGGGAGATGACCTTAGGCATATCACTAACCCGTGTTTGTCTCCATTTCCTTATTAGAAACTGGAGATTGATATAATAGTTGCTCTTGTCTACATCATTGTAATATTGTGAGGATAAAGAAGCCATTATATGAGAGTTTTGTAAGAAAGTACTTAATCCATGGCTAACTATCTTAATAAAAGTTATAGTACTCCCTTCTTTTTGCAGTTTGAAATCTTCAGGTTCATAGTGCTCAATGTTAAAATTAGCTTAAAATAAGGAACCAGGTTTTTAGTTATGTTGAGAGAAAAATTCCATTTGCCTTTTACTAATAATATAGCCCCGGCATAATTGTCTCTCACTATCCACTAGATTCTAAGTCATTTTTAATGAAGTAGGATAAATTATTTTTCTGAAGACCAGGAAGGTTTAGAGGGTAGAAATTGTACCTGAAAATATTTCTGTTAAATGTAACTAAGAACTTATTTAGGTCAAGTGATATGGAAACCCTTATTTCCTAGAGAAAAAGTGAATTAGGATGATGATGATGATGATGATGATGATGATGATGATGATACTTTTAGAGACATCTCTTTTCTAATAATAATTCCAAATAGTACAACAGTTTTTTTCTAGGATAGGGCTTACTTTTTGGAGTCTTTTCAGATATACATTATTTTGCACGTCCATTCAAGATCATAAGAGGCTTTACTCTAGAAATTAAAATGACACTAACATTTATCTGGAAGGATAAGCATATAAGGATAGTCAGGAAAATTCAGAATAAGATGAGTTAAGACAAGGGTCTTGGACACTATATTCTGAAATCCATGATAAAGCCACAGAAATTAATTGAAAGTCGTACTGGCCCAGGAATAGGAAGACAGATGAGTGAACAGAACAGAGTCCAGGAACAGATCCAAGTGCATATGATAAATGAGTCACTTCAAATCAGTGAGGAG